TTGGTCAAGAGACATGACTAAGCCTTTATGACATGGAAGTAGCTGGTATACCTTGGCATGTGCTGGAACCTGCTGGAAGGATTGGATGGTCAGGTGACCTGCTGTGCATGGCTGTGCATGACCTCATATGACCTCATCCTTGGTCATATGACCTGATCACCTGACTAGGCTGAGTAAGCAAGATGTTCTAGCAGGTTCCACCACAGAGGTATAAATATAAGGCCTACTCTGCCTGGGGACTGTCTCTTCAGACTTGGTCTCTTAGGATCATCCACAGGTACCTATACTGTAGATAGGTCTTAGTCATCAGGTCTACTCCACTTCCTTGTTGCCTGCTTAGACTCTTGGCACTCTTAGGTGAGCAGACTTAGTCAGCCTGTGTTGCCCTAACACTGACAGACTGATTTCCTGACCAACTTTCTGCTTACTAAGCCACAAGAGCTCACACACTTCCCATCAGACTGATATATTCAGACCCCTGATATTTTGGACACCTCTTGGGTTGGATCATATTGGAGCCCTGTCAGGGTTCAACCTCTGCAAACTCCTACACAAACTCTGATTTGGCCTGAATGTCACCATTTTGACACATTTGACCCCTCAGTTGAGGCTATCAGATATGAGAAGCCCCTTCTGACAGGCCTCTCTCCCCATCTGGGATAGATGGCAAGGTTATTGGTGATTGTTCACCTTTTGCAAGGACTGAACACTCAAGTTGCACATTCACTCAAGACTGTCAGTTATGTTGACTAGAGTTTCAACCCCTTTGTCAAGTTGCTAGGACACCCAAAGGACTTTGGGGCCTAAGGCATAGGGGGTCAGGGTTTGGACACCTTTTGGACCAGCCAATCAATCATGTTTGACTCTTTGCAGGCTTTGGTCATGTGCCTCAGCAAGTCTTTCAACAGATTGCAGACAAGTAGCCACCTTTCATCAACATTGGCTACTTACTCAAAGTGCCTATGTCAGGGTACACCCAGTACAGCATATATAGTAACCTGTGACCAATATCACTGAACCATGATATTGAGGCTCTTTTGGCCTAGTGGTAGTATTCACAGGTGTTACCCTGATATATCTGTGAGGGCAACACAATCCAACAATTGTTGATGATTGAATAACCAAACAGGCAATGAGCAAATTGGAGAGTAGTGAGTCATACATCAATCAATACCTCGATGTTTGTTCACAAATGGAGTGATTGACAGGGCTGTTATAGAGTAAGTGGGGATCAGCAGCTGACAGGCACAATTGTGTGTGTGTTATGTGCACATTTGGAACAATTAAAGCTTTGTGTTTAGAACCTAATGACCTTGGACCATGGGGTTCCTAAGAGATTAGCTCTAAAGAGCTACAGGGGCTCTACCTAGGGTTCTATATATGTCTAGGTATGGAAGTAAAAGGAAGCAAAGTCTGTGGCTGACTATACAGCTTGCTTAGGGCAGGCACCTTATGTCTCTTGTTGTCAGGGCACCAGCTCATTGCTTGGTCAAGAGACATGACTGAGCCTTTATGACATGGAAGTAGCTGGTATACCGTGGCATGTGCTGGAACCTGCTGGAAGGATTGGATGGTCAGGTGACCTGCTGTGCATGGCTGTGCATGACCTCATATGACCTCATCCTTGGTCATATGACCTGATCACCTGACTAGGCTGAGTAAGCAAGATGTTCTAGCAGGTTCCACCACAGAGGTATAAATATAAGGCCTACTCTGCCTGGGACGGTCTCTTCAG